CTGATATAAGCATTACCACCCCTGCTTTCTTCTGGTTTCCATTTTCACAGAATTTTATTTTCTATTCCTTCACTTCAGTCTATGTGTAGACTTATAGATGAAATGAGTATCTAGTAAGCAGCATATTGTTGAATCTTGTTTTTCCTTTTTAATCCATTCAGCCACTGTATCTATTTTAATTGGGAATTTATTTCATTTACATTCAAACTTATTATTGATAGGTAAGGACTTTTGCCATTTTGTTCAATATTTTCTGGTTGTTTTGTATATCCTTTGTTCATTCCTCTCTCATGCTTATCTTTGTGGCTTGGTGAGGGTATTTGTTGTGATAAGCTTTGATTCCTTTCTCTTTCTCATTTGTATATCTGTTGTAATTTTTTTCTTTGTGGTAAGTATTGGAGTTACATTACAAACTCTCAACTTATAATAGACTATTTTAAGCTGTTAACAAGTTAACTTTCATTGCATACCAATACTCTAGACTTTCATTCTGCTACAAATTTACAATTTTGTTGCCTTAATATACATCTTTATATATTGTTTGTTTCTTAACAACTTCTCATAGCTATAATCAGTATTACCATTTTCACTTTTTGGCATACTACAGAGCTGCATTTACAAAAGAATTTATTATTATTATATTTTTTCCTTTTTTTGAGACAGAGTCTCACTCTGTCACAGGGTGCCAGCCTGGTGGGCTGGAGTGCAGTGGTGTGATCTCAGCTCACTGCAACCTCTGCCTCCCAGGTTCAAGCAATTCTCCTGCCTCAGCCTCCTGAGTAGCTGGGACTACAGGCACGCACCACCACACCCAGCTAATTTTTGTATTGTTTTTAGTAGAGATGGGGTTCCACCATATTGGCCAGGATGGTCTCACTCTCTTGACCTTGTGATCTGCCCACCTCGGCCTCCCAAAGTGCTGGGATTACAGGTGTGAGCCACCGCACCCGGCCTATTATTATTTTAAAAATCAGGTCCACTATGTTGCCCAGGTTGGACTCAAACTCCTGGACTCAAATGAGCCTTCCATTTCAGCCTCCAAAATAACTGGGACTGTAAGCACATGCCACAGCAACCAGCTTTTTTGACTTTTAAACTTCATATTAGAGATCTGAAAGATTATGTATCACCATTGCAGTAACGAAGTATTATGAAGTTGATAATCCATTTACCTCCAGCAGTGAGATAGATACTTCATGTTTTTTATACCAATTATAAAATTTCCAATAGTCAAGCATTTCTTGTAAGTTTGGTCCAGTGGTAATGAGTTCCCTCAGCTTTTGCTTATATGGGAAAGAGTATTGCTCCTTCATTTCTGGAAAAAAAAAAAAAAAAAAAGATTTGCTGAGTATACTATTCTAAGCTAGCAGTATTTTCTTCTAGTATTTTAAATATATCTTCCCATTCTCTATGGGCCTACAAGGTTGCTGCTGGGAAATATGCTAACAGTCCAACGGCAATTCCCTCACATGTGACTTGATGCTTTCTTCATGCTGCTTTTAGTACTTTTTCTTTGTCTTTGACTTTTGACAGTTTGGTTATAATATGCCTCAGAGAGGATCTCTTTGGGTTGAATCTGGTATCCTTTGAACTTCCTGGATCTGGATGTCCATATCTCTTCAAGACTTACAAATTTTTCAACTATTACTTTGTTAAATAAACTTTCTTTGCCTTTCTTCATCTCTTCTTCTTCTTAAGTTGCCAAAATGCAAATATTTGTGCCACTTAAGTGTCTTAGGTTCACACTCACTACAAAGTTTTTTGTGTCCTACTATTTTTAGTTTTTTGGTACCTGTTCCTTCTCCATCTTCCTTTTTTTTTTTTTTTCCTTTACCTCTGACTAGACTATTTCAAAAGGCCCGTTTTCAAATTCAAAAATTCTGTTTGATCTATTTTGCTGTCGGAACTCTCAATTGTATTTTTCATTTTGTTAATTGAATTTGTTGGCCCCAAGATTTCTGGGTTTTTTTCTCTGTTAAATTTCTCATTCAGATCACAAATTGTTTTTCCCAATTATTGAATGATCTGTTTATGTTCTTTCATGTCTCACCAAGTTTCCTTAAGCTCACTATTTTGAATTCCTTTTCAGGCAATTCATACATTTTTATTTATTTGATTGAGGTCAGTTACTAGAGAATTATTGTGTTTCTTTGGCAGTGTCATGTTTCTTTGCATTTTTATGTTTCTTGTATCCCTGCACTGGTATCTGTGCATCTGATGGAATAATAACCTTTTCTAACTTTGTAGAGTAGCTTTCATGAAGAAAGGCTTACACCTGCAGATGTGTCCTAGCATGTTGGTTGGGTAGGGTACATTTGTTTTTGTTCTGGGTGGATGCAGTAGTGTAGTCTCCATGCAGCTTCTTTAGCTGTAGTTAATGTCAGTGATGCCTGCGAGTACCCAAGTGGCCTTGGCTGCAGAAGTTTGTGTGGCTGGTATGCCTACTCAGCTGCTTGTCCACTAAAGGCTGGGCACTGGGCTGGTGTGTTCTCTGAGGATCCATGGCTGGTAGGTTCTTCTTGGGTGCTGATCTCTTAGGGGCTGCATAGTGAGCTGGTCTGTGCTCTAGAGAAGTACAGGGCTGGTTGTCTAGTAGCTCTGCTAAGTTGCTGCTCCCTTGGAGCCAAGGCACCAGAATGGTTCACACTCACTACAAGGTTTTTTTGTGTCCTACTATTTTTAGTTTTTTGGTAGCTTTTCCTTCTCCATCTTCATTAACATTTCTGTCTGAAGGCAAATATTTGTATAAAAGCCTTTTCTTACCTGAGTTAACATCTGTCCTATTTTTCATGTATCATAATAGAGATTTATCCTCACAAATAGGAGTAGTTTCCAGATTGCTCAGGTTATCACAGAAATAGCCAAAATTATTTTGTCTGCTGCCACACCACTGAGTCTGAATTCCTGTAAAGGGAAATTGAAATATGCCATGCATTTACTTTTCTCCGTTGTCTAACTCCCATAGTCAACTGGAGCTCTCTGATGAGTCTTGGCCTTACAGCCAATCTTCAAAGCAGTATTTATCAGAAATACTTCCTATCTCTTCTTCATGGGATCAAGCTAATATATTTAGTGCTTAAAGCAATGTCCTCACCCAAGGTCAAAACCTCACCTAATAGATGTACCTAACAGGCCAACAGGTAACGAGGGATGGCCTTCAATGTTGACTCTTTTTTTGCCAACAAAAGTAACATACTCTATTCCTTCTTTCAAGACTTTTTCCCTCCTCTGTTCTCTACTCCTTACAAAGCCTTTGTTCTCCTGCTTGGCTTCTATTTTTAAAAGGATTTCTTTTTTGACCACATTATTGCAGTCAATATTCAAGAGGGAGGGGGCAGAAAGTGTTCTTCAGCTTCTCAGAGATCTTTCTTCTAACTACACAAAAAACAACTCACCTCTCAATCAACAGAACTAAGAAATGCTTCCTATGCATTTGGATTATTGTGCCTTTGAGTGCTATAAAGAAGCATTTCTTTGATAGGAAAAGTTGAGTAGCTTAAGTTATTATTGATGTTCTAGTCTGAAATTGGGTGGGTTTCATAGGTGCTCATTATATTAAAAATAAATAGAATAAAGGAATGAGTAAATAAGTGAAAGACAAATAGAGGTTGGGAAGCAACTGCAACTTAAAAATATGTATTGACCAGTGATGACAGGAACCAAGGTTTATCTTAATACAAATATGTGCACCTGGGGGTCATTAAAAAGTTAATTCTGTTCTTAGGAACTCAAATATACGTAATTGGTTAAGAAATATGTACATGTAGATACAGAACATTATTTCCATGAATTGCTTAGTGACAAAATTCATTTTTCACATACTACGAAAATTATTTAGTATAAAGTCTGAGACAGCACTCAAAGGGAGTTAGAGGAGGACAAAATGATCAAACACACAATATAAAAATAATCTGTAAGAGAGTCTAGAAGAGATTCCACAGGTTTAGAGAGAAGACCCCACTTCTTCTTGAAAAGACCATGTAGGTGAGGGCCCAAGCATATACAGCAGGCTTACCTACTGTCTGTGAGATGTCTATGCTTTAAGCAGGAGCCAAAAACATGAAAATAGGTCATAAACTCTTTCTTGACCCTCCACCATGGTAAATAGAGATGGGAGAGTCATGTGGAGCTTTAATAAAACAGAGGTTTTTCCTGCTTGTGTAGCCTTGGAGCAGAGCTATTACAAAGGAGAAAATAATAAGCCTTAATTAAGGCTTTTTACATTTAATCACAAGACAACTGGCACTATGAGCTTGTTGTTCTTAACACCTAGAGCAGACTTTAATCTCAGATCCTCATAGGAAACTGAGATAAGCTATTTCAGCTGTCAAAATCATCAAAAGACAAACAACTGACTTGTGTCAGTAATGTTAGCGTGACCTTTTACAGAAAGCCTAGTAGATCTCCTAGAACTGGAAAATGTACTTTTGGTTGTAAGGCATTATTAATATTATTAATGCATTCATAGTACATAATATTAATGCCCTACAGCCAAAGACCAGTGGAAACACACCTATAATTAAACAAGTTGAATCTATTATTCACAGCAGCTAGGGAAAATGCACACCATAGGGAAATGGGTATATCAGTTAAAAGGTGTCAGAACTTATTATAGGCTATGGGCTTTGGTTGGATCATTTTGTGAAGTGTCTGAAGAGGCAAGACTTTGTTCTAGATTATATACTGTCAAGAACCAGAAGCAATTCTATGACTGAGATCTCAATAAATTTCATATATAAGGAGAGCTGACTAAAATGAGCATGAAGCTGTGATTGGTTTCTAAAAAGTTGCAATTATTCATTTTAGATAAGAGAAGGATGATCAGTATTTTGTGGGTTACATGGTAATCTTGTATGTGCCTCACTTTATGATGGTCTCAGAGTGATCTTGTCTGATGTTGATGTTCTCTGAAATTGTTTTTGTACAATGGGAGAACAATATGGCCTAGCTGTTAGTGCCAGACAAGTTTCTGGATGTCAGGGGCTGCTGGTCTTTTTTTTATCAGTTGAAAAGGAAAAAAGAATCGTTGCTCCTCTTATAGAGATTCAAATCTGCACCACTCTTGATTGACCACAAGGGACATACTGAAAAAAAATATTAATAGCAGAAATTATGCATGATGTACCTTGGGAAAGGATGGTTCCCTACAGATCCGCTAGACTTGGTGGAAGTCTTGGGGCAAACCAAAATGAAATTAAGACTACAAGTCACAATATATAATGAAAAGACTTGAGAAGGAATAATCTTGATGTCACAGGAACTTCGGAATAAATCAATTTGGAAATAATTGTTTACATTTTCAAATAAGTAAATAAATAGACAATAATATATGCTGGTCCCATAGGAGTAGGGATTTTGACTCACTCTTTCTCTGTAGTAGTTTTCTTATGTGGTATTGACCTACAATGACCCTCAGTTCCCATACAGTACCCACCCAGCACTTTATTTACAACGCTTGTGGGATTGTGAATGAAGACATTTATATTACACTGACGTAGGTGCACTTAAAGAAAATTGGATCTATTGAGCACCTGTCCAAAGGTCTGATATTTCAAAGGCAGAAAGCAAAAAAGGACACCCACTCTTATTCTTGGGCTCACTTAGTTCCACTGGCTCCCAGACAACTAAAATCTTCAGTACAAAACCAAACTTTATGTCTGGTCTGGTCATGGGAGGAACAGTTTATAAATGTAAGAATATCTCTCCTCACTTCCACCCCAGCCTTGTCCCTTACTAGAGGAAGAAAGTTTCAGTACCTTGGCAGTGACATGTTCCAAGACATTCTCTGTGATTGGAATATAACTGGCTCTTACCACATATGTTTCACACACTTATAATCCAAACAGAAAAAAAAAAAGTGTAGCCCCAAGTAAATTTTACAAACATACCAAAGCAGAATACGAAAGCTTTTGTAACTCTGAATTAGGGCTGGCCACTTGTCATGAGAAGCAACAAACTCCCTCATTGCTTCAAAGTTACACTGTTGTCAGTGAATACGAATCAGGAACTTGCCCTTGGATATAGACCATTCTATAATTTGAATAAAAGTTATTATAAACGTACTAAAGAATGAAACTTAATGGCTGTTTCATAAATACTCTCAAGTTATTAACTTTGCTTTTTACTCCCACTACAACACAATTTTAGTAATTATACTTGAGAGTTTTAAAGTGAGGAGATATAATTATGATGGTACTTCTGTTATTCTGGGTACTCCAAGAAGTAGAAACCAAGATCGGATCAGATATGCAAGAGATTTTATAAAGGAAATGCCTGTGAGAGAAAATGTAGAGAGAGCCAGAAGAGGCCGGGAGAACCACCATCAGACTGCAATGTAGGTTTAACCCTTGGGAAGGAGACAGCAAAAGAAAAAAAAGTATAGGTCTCAGAGAGTTTCTTTCAAGACAATGAGGAGTCCTTGAGCCAAAGTCACCCATCAGAAGAATCCCATGTCTTCCAGGAATAGGCCTGCCTTAGGATCACCACTACATTTTATTCACTAGCCTGGAGAAGCCCTTGGCAGCATGGTCTTGGTGCCAAGGATTCCAGAGCACACCAGCTGGGGCCATCTGCAATTTCATACCCACCCCCTGCAGTTGGACATCTGAGAAGAACATTTTCATGGCCACCACAGTACTGATTCTTAAAGCAGCTGTAGACACCTGTTTTGGATCATCTTAAATAGTGACTTGGTAAACCTCCCCAGTGACTCATACCAGTAAATGTCCATAGGTAGATTCATCCATCTCTGTTCCTAAATTAGAGTGTGGCTAATTCTTTCCAGATTCTTAAGGTCCTTAGAAGAAAGAATATATGGTACCACATTAAGTTAAGCTCATGACTGAAAATAATTTAAGAAGGAGACAGTGACTATTAATACTAGCCCACCATTAGAAGGCACACGTATGAGTATCCCCTGCATTTGGCTTAGTGATAAACTGCAATCACTGCAGCAATTGCTCACTATTTGACAAAAAATAGACTGAGGTACCATTGGTAACAATATTTCTGATTTGTGTTTGTCTCTTGCATATGCTGGACAATGAAGTAATTTTGTTTATGTATATTTATTATGTATACCTAGAAAGAGTCTATCATGGAAGCACAAAAAGTATGAGTTAACCTGCCTGACTTAAGCTAGTATAGATCTATGCTTGGAACTGGAGATGACTTCATTGTACCCTGAATCTCATAAGGGAGAGGTGGATTATCTGATAAATGAATTTGGCTAGAAAGGAAAATAGGGGCAGTATAGGGAACAGATGCTGAGGAGGCAACCACAGTGTTTACTAAATGATGCTTTAAAAAAAAAATATTCCTCCAAACTGCAGAATGGAATCAAAACTCCCTAGCACAGCAGTCGAAGTCCCTCTAAACCTAGCCCAAACTTCTTTAGAGGTAACACTATGAAAGTCCTGCTAACTAGTTTCAGCCGCTATGAATATTTTGTCTTTCTCAAATTGAGCCTTTCACATTCATATCTCCATGTTTTGGAATATTATACAGCCTCACATTGTAATACTCTCCACCCTTATCTGCCCATAAACATACATTTTTCTAAGCTGAGTTTCTGTGTCACCTTCGCTGCACATTCTTCTCTAATCCTTGGATCAGAAATAATTGCTGCTACCTTTATGTGCCCTTGCACCTAATTTTGGTACTTAGATTAGTTGACCTGATATTAGAGTTGTTTTCACGTCTTTTCTCCTCTCTAGATTTATTGACCATAATAGCATTTCTATCTCCCAGAGTGTCTCACAGAATAAGTGTCCAGTAAGGATATGTTGACTTTCATTGAATGGCTTCTGTTTTCTCCTAAGTAAAAGGAAAGATCTGGGGGTCTGCACCTTTGCATAAGCAATAGCCATTTCGAAGCTTATCCAACATGCCTTATTTTGTTGTTGTTGTTGTTCTGTTTTATTTTAGGCTTCTGGCAGCCTGAATCCATGGTTTTTAGTTTCTGCCTCTAGGGAAAGGGGAAAAGAGGGACGAGGAAGGGGTTTTACTTGCCCAACCAGAAACAGAAACTAAGAACCCACAATTGTATTCTCTCTCTGGGATACCCTTTAGTAAGAACATATGGCAGTCACTATCTTTCACATTTTTTTTTTAATGAACCGTTATGCCATTCCTATGTTGTTTGGTTCTATTCCTCAGGCAGCTCCTGCTCCCGAATGGCAGGTACCTTCTGCTCTCTGACCCTGGAAAAACAACCTTTGTTCAAAGTCCCTTCTTCTATTACAGGAACACCAAAATACTCTCAGGAGTCAATTTAGAACGATAGTGGTACTTTACCTCAGGAGTGAGGTTGATGTAGGTGGAGACTGATTAAAACCTAAGAGCATAAATACATAAAAGACACCGAGCCAGCTTTTTTTTTTTTTTTTTTTTTGATGGAGTCTCGCTCAGTCCCCCAGGATGGAGTGCAGTGGCATCAGCTCACTGCAGCCTCCACCCCAAGTTCAAGCAATTCTCCAGCCTCACCCTCCTGAGTAGCTAGGATTACAGGCACCCACCACCATGCCTGGCTAATTTTTGTATTTTTAGTTGAGATGGGATTTCACCAAGTTGGCCAGGCTGGTCTAGAACTCCTGTCCTCAGGTGATCCACCCGCCTCGGCCTCCCAAAGTGCTGGGATTACAGGCATGAGCCCCGGCTCCGGTCCCTGAGTCAGCTTGTAACGTAGAACTTTACTGGCCCACTTTCTTTGATGTCCGTCTCCCACGTCAGTTCCCCAAGGTCAGTTGTTTCCTGATATGAAGCCTAAAACTTCAACATACTTCACCTCACATTGGATTTCTATCCTGAATTATTCCAAATTCTGGCAAGTCTTATCCAAACTTTCTTTTCTGTGTAATTTTCTCCTTGCTTTTTCTTTCTGAAACCTGAATGCATTTGGTCCTCTGCCAATCAGATTTCCACTAGTCTTCCAAAGAGTCAGTTATTAACTCACTAATTCAACAGACATTTTTGGACGTTCACTATATACTTATTCAGCATATATTTAGGTATTTATTAAGAAATTAAAGCCTACTCCCTGTCAGAAATGGAACTAGGCAATGAGGACCCAATGGTGGGTAAAATGCAGATTGCTCTTTTTTCCTTTCATTGTAGCAGAGTTATCACTTTCCTGGGAAGACGTTCCTAACTTCCAGATTACACCACATCCTCCTCCTGACCACACCCCTCTACCTTGATTTTCACCTTCCGACATCTCTTGGGTAGAAATTCAAGCACCAGACACTCCATAGCTTTAGCTTAATTTCTCCAGCCACACAAGGACGTTCCTGTGTTAGTGATGCCACAGGCACGTTTCCTTCCCAGTGAGAATATCACTCACTAGGCAGCATTTCTGTGGATACTTCCAGAGAAAAATGTCAGTTCTGGTCCTCCTAGTTGAATACCCGCCCCATGACCCTGAGCATCGCCCTGGCTCGGAGAGCATCGCCCTGGCTCGGAGTGCATGGCCCGCCGCCGACCATCAGGGGGCAGCCCTCCACGCAGAACCTGTAGGGACAGGAGCGATACAGCGGCCACCGGCTCTGCTGAGCCCACCCCAGGACCAGAGGAAGGGTGCCCGATTCCACGCGGGGCCTCCGCCGTGGCATACGTTGTTATTAGGGAATTATTCTCCCTGAATACGGTTTATTGGAGACTTAGAGTTAGCTTTTCTCATCAAGTGCGACAGCAACCTGGCAGGGCCCCCGCCAGAATCCAGAACCCAGAACCCACGGAGGCTCATGCAGGTCAAAGCATCTCTCTGGAAAGACGTGTCGCTCACCTGGTAGGCGCCCCGAGAGCCCGCTGAACGGCCCCAGGTGGGGCCAGCAAATAGCGCGGGAGACCACGGGCGTGGCTCAGGGCGCGGAAATAACGCCCCGGCCTAGCCTCAGTGACGGCCCCGCCTCACCCCAACCTGCGGCCTGCCTCCGGACAGCTGTTTCCGATGCCTCCCAGACTCAGGGACAGGCCTGCCTCCAGGATGGCCCCGCCTACGGGACAACCCCGCCCCCAGAACAGCCCCGCCTATGATACAGCCCAGCCTCCAGGACGGCTCAGCCTACGATACAACCCCGCCTCCAGGACGGGCCCCCTTCACCTCCGAGACAGCCCCGCCCCCAGGACGGCCCCGCCTACTAGACCACCCCGCCCCCAGAACAGCCCCGCCTATGACACAGCCCAGCCTCCAGGACTGCCCCGCCTACGATACAACCCCCGCCTCCAGGACAGCCCAGCTCTACCTCCGAGACAGCCCCACCCCCAGAACGGCCCCGCCTATGATACGGCCCTGCCTCCAGGACGGCCCCGCCTACGATACAGCCCAGCCTCCAGGACTGCCCGGCCTACGCTACAACCCCCGCCTCCAGGACGGCCCTGCTCTACTTCTGAGACAGCCCCGCCCCCAGGACGCCCCCCAACCCCACGAGACAACCCCGCCCCCAGACCGGTCCCGCCTATGATACAGCCCTGCCTCCAGGACGGCCCTGCCTACGAGACAACCCCGCCCTCAGACCGGTCCCGCCTATGATACAGCCCTGCCTCCAGGACGGCCCCGCCTACGATACAACCCCGCCTCCAGGACGGACCCGCTCCACCTTCCGAGACAGCCCCGCCCCCAGAACGGCCCCGCCTACGATACAGCCCCGCCTCTGGCACTGCCGCGCTCCACCTCCGAAACAGCCCAGTCCTCAGGACAGCCCCGCCTCCGTCACTGCCCTGCCTCCGGGAACACCCGTTCTGCCTAGGAGACAGCCCCGCCTCCAGGCCGGCTCGACTCCGAGACCGCCCCGCCTCTGAGACCGCCCTGCCCCGCCTCTGAGGCAGCCACGTCTCCAGTGCAGCCCCACCTTTGGGACCTCCCCGCTCCTCCTAGGAGACAGCTCGGCCTCCAGTACGGCCCCGCCTCCTAGACCACCCTAGACCTCCTAGACCACCTAGACCACCCCGCCTCTGGGACCGCCCCGCCCCGCCTCCGAGACCGCCCCGCCTCTGGCTCCGCTCCGCCCTCCTTCGTGGCAGCCCCGCCTCCGACACCACCCCGCCTCTGGGACCGTTCCGACCAGCCTGCTAGGCAGCCCCGCCTCCGGCACCGCCCCTCCTTATCTCCGAGAAGTGCCCCGCGCGCCGCAGCAGAGCCAGTCCGACAATCCCCAGGGATCCGCACTGCCCAGGCGTGAGTGTTCCAATCCGAGCGGGTCTTGAGGTGGGGGTGGTGGCTGGGCACCCAGGGCGCTGGGGGTCCCCGCAAAGTGCCAGAGGCCCCAAGCCATTCCCGGGTCAGGGGTGTCCCTCTCTTCTTAGGTCTAGGTCTTTGGTTTCATTTGGTTTTGTGAGTCCGGTGCTATTTGCAGTTTGTCTAAAAACACATATCTCCCTCCTCTTTGAACTTGTAAATTACTAATTCGATAAGGATGTGACTGGTGTGTGCGTGCACGACGGCGTATTTCGTTGCAGAGTGCTGGGTCAGCTTTGCGGAACATATTACTCATCTGGGGTTTTTTAGTTTGTCTTTGTTTACCCCGTCGAACTGGTAAGGCCCGAGAAGTGAAAGACTTCACCTGTCTTCTGGGAGGTAGCTAGCGGGATCTTGAGCTCAGGCTTTCGGATCTCTCTCCGCTGCTTTTTTTCACTGGTCCCTTGTGAGACTGAGATCATGTACCGGCATGCTGGATGATCTGCGGAGTATTGGCTCTCTTTTTGTGAACTCACTTTCCCGTGGGCAGTATTAAGAAAAAGGCGGTGAGTAGGAAGGGAAGAGGGAGAGATTGAATTCTACAGGAAATACGGGGCGTGCTCAGAATGTCAATCTTTTTGAGCTTGGAGTTATTTCATGGAAAAAAGTAGCAGGAAAGACGTCCAGTAATCACTGGCATGCCCGACCCTGGAGAAGCCAAGCTGAGGTGCTCAGCAAGTTTCACCTTAGTGAGAGTGGAAGAAATGTAAAGGCTCTTGTTAGAGTTCTTGTAGAGGAAGACTGTGGATGAGAATATATCCTGGGGACTAAAACCAGATCGGTTTAGTCTAGAATGATTGCCAACTGAAGGGACTGATGTTTGAGAGTTGGTGAGAGATTAACAGAATGAGGTGGCTAACAGCACAAGCGTGGAGGCCCCACAGGGTCGTGGGGTGTCCCTTATGCTGTGCTGAGGTGCAGGATCCGAAAAGTAAAGAGACAGGACACTGATGAACTGGTGAAGAGCATCTGGACTCAGGAGCCCAAGCCACCTGTGAGCGGAGATTGGTGAGCTCCTCGATGCCCAGAAGCATCTGTATTTATTAGGTACAATCAGGGGGCAGGGTCGTGAGTGAGGTCATCATCTATAGTCTTAGTAATAGGACATATATAATCACCTGAGTCACAAGCAAGGGGGCCACCCCATTATGTCACCTGGGCAGAGAGGTGGGCCGTGCGCAGTGGAGGACCATGTCATGCACAGTAGTAGAGGGTCATGTACAGCAAAAGGGGTCCAACACCATTAGGTCAACAAGGCAAGGAGGTGGGCTGTGTGCAACAGGTGTCCTGTGCAACAGGTGTCCTGCGCAACACTTCTTATCTGGGGGCTGGAGACTTCAAAGGATTTCTGATAGAAGGATACTGTAAGCTTAATGCAGTGGGAGCTGGCAGACTTGTGCTCTTCTCTTAAGATATTTATGGGAGGATGACTTGAGCTAGCACAGAAGTGAGAAAAGACTGACAGGGTGTACAGCCGTCATGTCTGGTCGCACCAGAGGGGTTCTTCTCCCTTGGTTATTTCCAGGATCTCAGACCTGAGGCCTGCTTTCTACAGGAACTGGATGCAAGGTACTACAACTCCTTTATCAGGAGGAGAGGCTCTTGCTCCAAGCCTGCCATACAGCATATGCCTTTTCAGGCAGGGACGCCACCGCCTGGGTCTTTGGTTCTTGTTCTGGTCTGGCTGTTTTCCCATGTACTGCCTCTGTTCTGTGACTGCTCTAGGCATTCCTCCTACCACAAGCTACTATATGGTTACATAGAAGGATTCTATAAATCAGCACCAAATGTATCAGTACAGCTCCAACTATAATACCTATATGATTATATAGAAAGATTATATGGGACTAAGTATGATTATATACATAAGCTAGATATAGTAAGCAGTGAGTTATGCTTCAGGCACTAATTCTATAAACTAATATGTGATTATATATGAAGGATTATATAAAGAAATAGCTGAATAATAACACTATAAACTAAGATATTCTTCAGGTACTAATTGTGCCTGGGGTCTGGACAGTTCTCCTTTCTCAGTGTCCCTGGGGGGTATTACCACACACATGGACAGGAGGGAGAGAGGAAGGAGGCACGGGTGGCTCATGGGCTTGGTGTGTGTCTTAGTTTAGATTCTTCCCTAAAGAAAAGCTTTATGCAAGGGGTTATCTACAGGTGATTTTTGCAGGGGTGGGTAAGTGAGACGAAAAAGCCCAAATGAGGAAGTGGAGAGAATGAGACAAGGAAAAAAGGGAAAGTTGGGAGGGGCATGGGCTGAGGGTCTTCCACGTGGTGCTCCGTTCTTCCAGGGGCCTTCCGAGGACCTCTGTGAAGGGCACTTCAGGAAAGCCACGGGGCACTTTTTTATGACTCCCTGCTCTACTGGGTGAAGCTCACCCTGGTGTCAACTCACCGCCACTTTAGGGCTGCCCTGTGGACCTGCAGAGGTGAGAAGGCTCAGAGCACACAGGAAAGTCCCTTACACTGGGATCCTCAGAGATGGATGGAGGGAGGCAGCACGAGACAGCCAGGGGACTACTAGGCGACTGCAATCTGCAACACTGCCCTCGGCACTCCGGGAAACTAGAAAGGGCAACAAAGGGACAGACACTCATTTAATCCGTGCTCACTGTGTGTGTACCAACCCCAGACAAGGTGTTTTTATTTGTTGTTTTTTTTTCTTCTTCTTCTTTTTTTCTTGAGGTGGAGTCTCGCTCTTTCACCCAGGCTGGAGTGCAGTGGCGTGATCTTATCTCACTGGAACCTTTGCTCCCCTAGATTTAAGCAATTCTCCTAACTCAGCCTCCCAAGTAGCTGGGATCACAGGAGCACACTACCAGACCCACCTATTTTTTAATAGACTTATAGAGGCAGAGTTTTGCCATGTTGGCAAGGCTGGTATCAGACTGCTGACCTCTGCTGTGATCCGCCTGCCTTAGCTTCCCAAAGTGCTGGGATTACATGCATTAACCACCACACCTGGACTATTCATATTCTTTTCATCTTCAAAAACAATCTTCCCAGGGATATATTATTCTCTTTTTGATAGGGAAACTGAGGCTGAAGTCATCTATCCAAGAGAAACTGCTTAAAGGGAGAAATAAGCTCAATTTTAGGCAGACCAAATTTTAAAAGACCTCAAGAACCTGCAGAATGCTACCAAATAGAGGGGTCCCTCTCCATTATGGCAGACTTGATAAATTGGGTGGGGGGCACTTTCCAACCTACTGAAGCTGTCAGAACAATTGCAGTTTTTAACAGGTCTGCAACCTTTCTGTTCAACAAAATCAAGCACTATGCCAACTCAGGCACACCAACATAACTATCACCTTAATCTACCAGCCCTGCAGAATCTGGCCCCACCTTCACTCCTCCTCAGGTCCTGCTCCTACCTTCCCTTTGCTCTCAGCCACTCCAAAGCAATCCCTTTGTTGGAATGCTCTTTGCTCACTGCATTTCAGGTTTCAGTTTCAATGTCACTTTCTCAGAGGCCTTTCCTATCACGCAAAAACTAAAGGAGTCTTTCAGTTCCTCCACATCGTGTCATCATGTTTTATTTTCATCATAGGGATTAATTTGTTGCATTCTATTTATCTGTTTATCTACTTATTTTTTCATTATCTTTCTCCTAAAATACTCAAATCACAAAAAGGGAAACCTCATCTCTTTTGTTTCTTGCTGAACTCTCCAGTGCCAAAATAGTGTGTGGCTCACAGTAGGGAATCCAATAAAATTTCGAGGTGAATGAATTTAGTTGTTTTCTTCATCTGTTCTGACCAGCAGTGCTTATCAGCATCTC